CCTTTATATTTATACATTTATTTCCAATAATGATAGGTTCTGTCCTCCATAATTTTCCTAAAAGCCAGAGTTTTCTGTTGAATCAAGAGGGTCTTTTCATAGCATGAAGTATTTTTATATGCTGAATTAAAAAAAGAAGCACGTCATAAATATTTTAACAATTTATTTGGCCAACTGTATAAAAAAACATGGATTTTTCATATTAAGAAACTTGGTTATAGCAATAAAACATAAAACAAATTTAATAGGTTGCTGAATGAGGAAAACAGATGAAAATAATAAAATATGATTTTTAGATGCAAAACTATTAACTCATTATTATAATTAAAATTAATTTACATTTATAATTATGTTTTTTCTCTAATTCTTTACTCTTTGCTTCCTTCTTGTTGGTTCTGTCTGTGGCTAAAAGTGTTCTATGGCCCAGTACGCAGTTCTGAAGCAGCCTATGCTTTGAAGACATGCTGCTGAAACACATGCAGGATGTGGCTTGACARTGTCTTGCTGAAATCAGCAGGACGTCCCTGAAAATGATGTGACTTGGATGGCAGCATTTGCTGTTCCAAAGCCTGTATGTATCTTTCAGCAGTAAAGGAGCCTTCACAGATGAGACAGTTAACCATGCCATGGGCAATAACACACTCCCATACCATCAGAGAGGCTGGCTTTTGAACTTTGTGCTGATAACAATCAGGAGATTTGCCAGATTCTCTGAATCTTTTGATGATATTATGGACTGTTGATGAAGAAATCACTAAATACTATGTAACTGTAAGTTGAGATACACTAGAACTACCAGACCTCTGCCATTTGGCAGTTATACCTTTAAATCCAAAGGAGCTGCCATATATAGCAGATATGAAAAGTCCTTCTTGCCTCCAGTGTTGTGTAAATGAGGCCATTACATTTGCAAGAACTCTAAGGATACTCTACTCAGCAACAAGTTGGTCTCAATGGAGCCCAGAGGGACTTCAATGTAACTCCTGTAACTATTATGGTTTGATGACCACCCCCCCCACACCCAAAAAACATGTCAACATTACCAGAAATTTAGATTCAAGATTCAAAGCTTTATTGATATGCACAGTAAAGAAACTGTGCATATAACAAAATATTTTATATAAATCTAAGTGCAAGCAAGTAATAAAAGATAAAATAAAATAAGCATGCAACAATATGATAACAAAAGTATTAGTTAATAGAAATGTAAACTATACAGAAATATAAACTGTGCCAATAAGCCTATGTTCACTGTTAACTGGTACTGGCATATTTTGACTTAATGACTGCAACAACAACATTTTAAAAATCTAAAATAAATATAGAACTCATCTCAGGTACCTCCATCGTGTATACAGTATTTGTAATATTGTAATATTGTACTATAGTGATAAACCTTTTATTCTATTTTGTTTCACTCAGCGTGTAGCCTATAAGCTATTTACTTTGGTGCAGTTTATTATATAAAGTTTTGGCACTTTATTAACAAGTTTTCGTATGTCTGTGGTCATCTTTCTCATTATTGTAAGAAATAATGTTGAAATATTGTGAAACTGACACAAAGACATTATTTAAACTATAATTCCAAAACTATTTTAAGTCAAATATCTCACCCCATCGGCAAACTTTTTTTTCTTGACAAGTCAATATGACTCAAATTAAGATCAAATAATATTTTTTGAGCAATCTTTACGTATCAGGATGGGTTAAAATCAAAGGGTTTTTACTTTTCCATCTCAGTCAATGGATCAACATCGTTCACACTATCACCATCACCCCATTTAACATTACCTGGTAGTGGCTGAATGCACACAACAAAAAGTGGCCTGATCTGTTGCAAATTACCCCAGCACTGCCATTTGTCAGCGTTTGGTAGAAAAAGGAGTTGTTTGAAAATGCTGGTAGTTGTAAGCTGTTGGACTATTTACTCACACAGTTGTTCAAAAGGTGGTGAACCTCACCCCATTCTTGTTTGTGAACCACTGAGCCTTTTGGGGATGCTTCATTTGTAACAAATAAGGACACTCACCTGTTTCCAATGACCTGTTGAATGCTCCAAGCAGGTGTTCTTTGGTTTCCCTGTCCCAGCTTTTTTGGAACGTGTTGCAAGCTTTAAATTCAAAGTTTATTGTTTGGGCGGCTGTGGCTGAGCGGTTAGGAGAGTCATTCCTGTAATGCAAGAGTTGGTGGTTTGATTCCATCACTATTCGGTCACATGTTGAAGTGTTCCTGGGCAAGACACTGAACTGTAATGTATGAATGTGATTTAAAGAACTGATTAGTTTCTATGGATTGATTTATCTTTTATTAGCTTTGTAGTGAGAGTAGAGTTCTGAATGAATGAGTGTGTGAAGAGCTTTGAGTATCCTCCTTGGATAGAAAGATGCTGTATAAGTACATTCCTTTTACCATTTAAAGAATTGGACCTAACAAAGTGGCTATAGTGTAGAGATCTGAGGTCATTTTTGAGTAAAAATAGCAGCAGAAGCTTTTCATTGCAACCTTGGGCACTTTCCACATGACTATTGTAATAATTCTGCTAAAATWATTGTACAATGTGAAACTGAAATGGTGTAAAAAGTTTAAATCTTAAAATTTAGAAGGAAGGAGTTGTTATAAAATAGACACATTTGAAGCTGAAGTAGATCTGCTAGGACTGTACTGAAGCTAAAGGTGGCTTTTCTGGCTTCAAGCTGTTCACTCGTCAGCCCTGTCAGAATTAAATACTATTTCTCCAATTCGAGGTCGATTAAAACACTATTCAAAACAGGCAAAACACTGTTCAATCCCACAAAGCCACACTTAAAAATGGCTGAAATGGCAATCCCTTCAGCATAAAAACCCCGTAGGTCCACTTTGTGCTCTCCTCCAGTTAAATCTAGTCTATCAAAATGGAGGTTTTCACGTTACATGCTTTGTTTAAAAAATGTATCATGAACAAAATAACTGCACTTGAAATCTGCACCATTTGAAATGAGAAACTTTGTCTCTGTTCAGCTAACCCAGCTATGTTGTGTTTGTGTTTTGTCCTGTGTT